TTAGATAAAGAGTCAACTCTTACGTTATCTCTCACCAGAAATTCTATTAACTTTGGTTCTAAGATAGAACATTAAAAAGCAAACGCGTCACCTTTGCATTGAAGTAGCAGCCAGTTTTGGACAGTGGATGAGGACAGATGTTAAAGTGCTCCCATTGGAAGGCCAGCTTCCTCCTTCAGCTCATTCTGTGAAGTGCTAACTGATGATGAACCTCATGACAAGGAGCACGTTGGTGCAAGTAGAAAGAGAAGCCAGGACCAGCTGTTCAATCAGGCAGGTTAGCTTTGAAGGCCAGAGGGGAAAACTGCTATGAGGAAACATTAGGCTCATCCCCTTTGAGGGCCACCCAGGCATCGATCCTTACAGAGTGAGTGATGCTCTCTTCACTTTTGTTCCTGAGTTAAATTCACACTACTCTTAGGGGAATCTACAACAGGCTAAGTTTAAGCTTTCATGATTTGAGTGCTTGTCTCCCTCGAGTATGAAATTGCTGTATTTTCTTGGACCATGAAGAACCAGATGGAAAGCTGCATTTTATAGTCTCATCTGTTACTGTGGTCAGCAAAATAACCCACGGATTTTGCTCATAAGTTCAGGAACTGGGTAAGCTGAAGAGAAAGGGAGGGGTACATGCCTTCTACTCCTTTTAGGCACCTTTCTCACATTCTGGCCGTTAGTCTTCTGTCTTCATTTCTTAGTGTACTCCAGGCTTTTAAGGCAACACACAGATCATTCAAATTGGCAAAGTCTAACTTGATGAGTCCATTTCCTCTTTCTACTTTGTGCCAGGAACTGTACTAGGCTCTGGGGATTCAGAGGCAAAGTAGATAGATATGGTCACTGCCCCTGCTGTATCTATGGGGAGAGCAGACAGTTAAACAAGCAATTACCATAAGTGAGATGATGATGGGGCAGTATCAGGCACCAGGAGAGCACAGAGCCGAGGAACCTGTGTCTAGACAGAGATCAACGCAGGCAGTGGGAACAGCATGTGTCAAGGTCCAGAGATGACTGAGCACAGCATGCTGAATGATGAGAGACGGTGCGGTGTGGTTGGAATATGGAGCATGAGCGGGGGACACAGTGGAAAGCAAGGGTTTTCTGCGAGGGTGTATTGAGTCAGGCGTGCCATATGGGGGCTCGCTGATGGTGGTGAAAAGTATGGACTGGAGGGTCCTTAATTTGAGAAATCCTTTGTTCTGTAAGCTGGAGAAAAAGCTGCTGCATATCTACTCTGCAGAGAAAAAAAATCCCGAAATGTGGTGCCTTCTGGAATTTAGATCTTCCTTTTTGTCATATTTTCCAGTCACTAGAATGCAACGGAATCTATTTAGACTCTTCATATGTGGTCTGTTAACCCCTTATCAGACCAGATCTTTTTGCTGTTGTCCTGAATAGTTTATGGAAGGAGAATGTATCAATGTACTCTCCACATGATTCCATAATGGAAGGGGAGTATAGCCAAACTGCCGTGTTGGCTATTCTCATTTTTCTCTTGGTCCTGTGGAAAGCTGCCAATCACCCTCTGATCCACAGGATCCAATTGGAATTTAAATTTCAAACTGGCTCTAGTTGGAATCAAAGAAAATTAATTCCGTAATAATTAGGTGAGTGTTGGTCTTCCTTCTCAGCAAGCAATACTGGAGCTTGGAGCTGATCCAGGATGCCTGTGGAGAATGATGTGTCTCTAGGGGAGGCAATATTTTCCAGGGGATGAGCCTTCCATTACCAAGCACTGCCTCACCTCTACTGGGCTTCCATGAACTCAGGAAAGTGCTCTGTGCTCTAAAAGGGGCTGAAAGCCAAGTTTTCTTCTTCGGCTAAAGCTGAAACAATAACAGGAACTTCCCCACCCACCTCTGTCTGCTTCAGGTAGTTGAGGTTTTGGAAATGAGGTGATTGTTTTTCAGTCTTTGGAAGATCCCGATCTCCCTTTTATTCAACCTTCTCCAAAATACACACACCGGGGCCTGCTGCTATTCCTCAGAGGCGCAGCCCTGGATTTGGCTTTGGCTGGTCTCCAGTGGCCTGGCCTGAGAGGTAACTTGGATGCCCTTGCCCTCAAATAGCACAGCTATCCAATAGACTGTTCTCTTAAGAGCCTTTTGCTGGACGGCGGGGGGCCGGGTTGTGAAATTCTCATAGTCCAGTCCTCGGCACCTAGACGGAACCTGGCAAGTAGTAGGAATTCAATAGGTTAATATATTTGTGGAATAAAATAAGGGGGTGTCACATTACCCCAGTTTGCAGGCCAGGTGTCACTAATCTCTCTGTTAGCAAATATCCCTTGACTTTCAGCCCAGACTGCAGGACTTCTCCCTTTCTGAGATTTTGCAATTCGAGGCCAATCTTTTTTGGATTGGGGGTGGTGATTTACAAAGATAAAGAAGACAAGACCCGCTAAATACTAAGTACTGAGTAGTTAAAAGATTGTGGACCTGGGTTCAAACCCCGGCTTCTCCATTTATCTTTTTGATAGTAAGGAAGTCACTTAGCCTCTTAGTCTCAGCTCCTCATTATGACTGTGTATCTTCTCAGAGGATTGTGGTGAAAATGAAACAATGCATTGCACTTAGCACAATATCTGGCACCTAGTGAACATTCAATACAGAATAAAAACAACAACAAATACTAACATTTATTGCATTCATGCCAGGTACTGTTCTAGGCACTGGGGATAGAGGAATGAATAAGAAAGGGACAACCCCACAATATATATGCAAACTTTAAAGAGGGTAATTCAAGCAGTGACAAGTATTATGAAAAAAAAAGAGACACAGTGCTATAATAGATGACAAGAATGGGGGCAATGCTACTTTAGATGTGGCGTCAAGGAATGTCCCCCCAAGGAGACCTGGATGGCAAGGAGGAGCCAGCCAGTGAAGAGCAAAGGGAAGAGCATTCCAGACAGCAGGAAGCTAATCCAAAAAAGTCTGGAGGTGGGAATGAGCTCAGTAGGTTCCAGGGGTGGAGACTAGGCCAATGTGTCTGGAGTGAACTAAGGACAGCAGTGGCAGGAAGTGAGGCAGGAGATGCAGGCAGGGCCTTGGTCACATAAGGCCATGAAGGTCATAAGGATGCATTTAAATTTTATCATAAGAGTTATGAGAAGCCTCTAGAGCAGTGGTCCCTAATCTTTTTGGCATGAGGGACCAGTGCTCCTATGAGAATCTGAGCCTGATGATTTGAAGTGGAGCTGAGGCGGTGATGCTAGCGCTGGGGAGTGGCTGCAAATACAGATGAAGCTTCATTCCTTCGCCCACTGCTCATCTCCTGCCACACAGCCCCTGTCCTAGAGGACTGTAATCTCAGGACTGACATTATCTGATTTACATTTAAGATAACCATTCTGGCTGCTTTATGAAGAATTTGAGTGTCGGGG